ATATATTTATTTTTTTTTTATTCTTAAAACATTCACTCGACTTGCTCCTAAATAAATATTCTTCCTTTTAGTTGAACTGAATAAATTCGTAAATTAAAAATTTAAACCAAACGGTACTTCACCCGATTAAATTTTTCAAGCACCGCGGTATAAATGAGTATTGTCAAGCTGTAGTTACGAGTAGGAAGGTATTTAAATAAACCATCGCCGGCATACAAAGGGAAAATATGTTTAATGTAATGCAGTCGCGCGAAAAATTGTATTTAAATCAGAGAAAAATGAAGAAACTAGCCCATACGAAACGATTACAGCGACATAATTCGTTTAACGCGTTGAGACGCTCCGAAGTTGGATTTTATCGTTAAAAACCGCCGGAACGATTACAAAACTCGTCGACCAGCCCCGAGAGAGCAATAAAGACGATACCATCTAAGAGGCACTAATCAAAACATTGCCCGCGCAATCTTCATTCGGCTCTCCGTCATCTCCGTGGCGCTCGTATCGTTAAGAAAATAACGACCGATTGCCTTTTTCCTCCTTAGCCCCGACGGCCCCAACTACCACGTGAAATCAATCGTGTCGTCAAACTCAATACCTATTACGCCCGTACGGTGAGGGCTCTTCTATCCACTAACCACAATAACATCGACAACGTCAACAACGTCAACAACATCAACAACAATACCAATAACAGAGACAATGACAAATAATGATAATAGTGGTTGCAATAGAAGTAATGCCCTAGGTAGCAAGAGGAAATCTGCTAGACGAGCCGAAACCGGCTAGATACGACCATCATGGCGCGTTTTGTCCCTCCCGGAGCAGAGGCTACGAGGAGCTACGCCGTCGCGTCAACGATTGGCCAACAACAGTGCGTTATCGGTGTTATGGGTGCAGTTTAAAGGTCAGGCCGACGCGAGCGCGATTAACGCGAAGCACCGAGGCGAGCTGAGACAGTCGATCGTTCTTCTCGACGCCGGCTCAGCGCGCTCCAAAAATCTCCCTTATCTCACTCTCGATCGCCGCCCCAATATCCCTCAGTCTCTCCTCCGTGTTTCGCCCCCCCCCCCCCCCCCCCCCCAAATCGACCAACCACTCGAGCATTAATGGATCAGCCGGAGACTGTTGCCGACGGCCATTCTTGGGTTTGGTAAGCCTCTTACTTCCATATAATTTTCACGAAATTGGGCTGCTTAGTGTGACCGATGACGGAGGGTTCGCTCGGGTGGGAGCAATGACGGAGAGGTGGGGGAGGGGAGCATCGGCAGTGACACACTCGAGAAAACGCGCTGCCTAGATGGCTGTACTGTGCGCGGGGAGGGGACGCTTTCAAGCGTGAATAGGGAACATTCTGGTAAGATACTCGCGATATTTACTCTAATCTCAGCTAGTAGATATGTCTCTTTTTCTCTGTATTTGGTAAAAAAACTATTTATTTTCTATCCCATATTTTCGACATTCGCTGTGGCCATATTGTCGTTCGTCGTTCGTCAATACAAATTCCACTCCGTTCGTCCCAGTTCGCATTTGGTTTTTTCATTGCCAGCAGGAACAATTTTTATCAATATAAATTTGCATAAATTGCAATCTTATTGATTTTAGCGGGTTGAAAGTAGAAGACTACATTTAAGAATTGTGTAATTTAGCCGCCAAATTCATGACTGCATAGTTCTTGGCTCAAACTTTTTTTTTTTTTCTGCGTTGACGCATTATTGCGATGCCAAGACCGAAAATTCACGATACTTTCAATTACGTTTATTCTGACCTAAAATAACAAGAATACCAACAAGAATTGCGTAAATTTTACATCCTTCATCGCTTTATTTGATCTATTAACATAAATTACTAAATGACTGAACATACGGAATAAACATGAAAAGTACAAATAAATGCGTATAAATTTAAATTAATAGTTCAATTATTTAAAAATTCGATTGAATTTGAATCTTAAATAACGATTGAACGGAACAGATAATCAATCAATGTATTTTCGTAAGTATCTTTAAAAAAAATTTTATCTAATCATGTGCGACGAATACTCCATCTATGCCTTTAAAATTTTACAAGCCTATAAACTAAAACTTTTAAAGGTTTTAATATTTTCCAAAGTATTGATTAAAAACGAAGAAAATAAACTAGTTTTAAGAATTTATATATACATATATTTTGGATTACCGAAAGTAATTCAAACTTTTGTTTCAAATACAAAATATTAGATACTTTTTTGGAACTATAAATTTAATAATTTTTAAATAAGAAATTGTACGAAAATCATATCAACCAAAACAATCTAATTTTCAATTTTGTATTTATTATTAATGTACTTACAATCAGAATTAAATTTTTGTCTTAAAAAAAACGATAAGAGAAAATAAGGCTCGCAAAAAGCTTGCTGTTATTGTATTTATTCAAAATCACATATTATCATATTATCAGAAAATTAATAAAAATATAAATGAAATATTTGTTACATTAAAGGAAAGGATTAAATAAATTATGACAAATAACTTACTTTAGCAATCAACGCATAAATTGTGTTAAAAGTAATAATACTAGAATAGATAGCGATAATATAATTAGAAATATAAAAATATTAAAATTAATTAAGTATTAATTTGTATTTTCATTACCATCAAGTATTGGGAGATTGTTTGTACTTACTTTGTCTTTTTTCTACAAAAGTCGAAGAATATTTTTAAATGATGGTTTTTTTTTTTTTTTTTTTTTTTTTTTTTTTTTTTTTGTACAATTTTGAGGCTGATATATCAAATTTGAAATCTCTTACAATTTAAAGTTGACCGCTAAATTTTATCGAAACATATTCGTGTAAACCATTTATTTATTTATTTATTTATTCTTAACTGCTTGACGAGATTATTTAATTAACTACATTGACTGGAGCTTTCAAGTAAAAAATATATAAAAAAAAACAGCAGAAATATAATAGTTTTTGTTTTAAGTTCTTCGGATTCTTAAAATTACTTAAAAAAAGCACCAGATAACATGATTTTATTTTATTTGTACAATTTATTCAAATATGTACATAACATATTGTATTAAGTTATTTAAAACAAATCGATTTCTAGATTTGGTAAAGCAATAAAATTGGTTAAAAATAATAAAGGATATAAATTTAACCTAAATTTTTTTTCAACAGAATTCTAACAAAAATGAATAATAATATATATTTTATAACAACAAGATTTGACGTGATTGTTCGATATAATTTATGTATCGTGGATAATAATAATTATATAAAAGAAATATCGAATTTACCATATACCTTTACAATTACAAATTATTACATTAGACAACAATACAATAGAAAAAGTATCACATAAAATTAGCACCAAAGTATGTCACTAATTATTTACATGTGTATTGAAAAGTAAAATTTTTTTCTTCACTTTGTTCAATTAATGAAAATTAACTGCAGGGCATCATGATTCGATTCATAAATTAGAACTGATTCTTATAAGATATCACTACTACTTTTCCGTCTATTCTTTTTCGCATCATTAATTAATGCAGGGAATTTTTATAATAAATTCCAATCATCTTGAGCTTTAAATGCTTTTCTGCGGAATTACACACATTCGAGTCTCTCATAATATGAAACATTAACATATTGCATTAAAAGCTTAAACATAAACTTCGTTGTAAAGAATATATATACAAGGGGAATAAAAATATAAAAATCACGTGTTTGAAACAATGACTCGAAAAATATATTTTTAATATTATTTGTCGAATTTAATGATAATTTAACGAGTAAATGAAATTGTGATTAGATTTTTAGCTCTTAAAACACTTTGATCGACTATATTTACCAGAATTTTTATATTTTTTATAATTCTAGAATAGTTTCTCAGAATGTAAATAGTGTTTTTTTTTTATTTTATTGTTATGTTGTAGTTGATATGAGAATAAGGTTTATCATTTTTATAATGTAAGCTTAGATAATGTTTTTCGAGCTTTTAATTTTTTCCTTCAATTAAAGGATTGGCAATAAATTATAATATATATATATATATATATATAATACATAAACAATTATTTTGAGATACTTATCTATATTAAACTTTTTATAAACTACATATTAGATTAGATTGTAAATGGTATTGACTCTTAGCTTTTCGATACAGCTGAGCTTTCAATTATATATATATATATATATATATATATACACGAACATGAATAGTGTTATGATTATCGTCTAGATTTCTTTTAGTTTACATTAACAGATATATTGATATGTGAGCAATAAATACACCAGTTTTTTTTTTTTTTTTTTAATTTATTTAACTTTAGTAGTAAAAATCTAGAAGAAAATATTATTATAATTGTATGAAACTTTGTAACAATTGACATGTCAATATTGATTGTGGGTAAATGTAAATAAAACTTGCAATATAACCGAAAAGAAGAATATTTTATAAATGTATGTTCTATTTTAATTACTCACAGTTACAAAAATGAGTTATCCAATTTAATTTTTTACTATACAGAGATTGAATATATTTAGATAAACGATTGTCTAGATAATATTATAGTATATATACTGTCAATGGTTAACTCGAACGATAGAAGAATCAAAGGAATAAAAGAGCATTAGCATTCTTAGATATAAAATGCAGCGTCATCAAAGCCATATTTTCTTCCGTATAAATTAATCAAGTATCTAGCTGTCCTTTGAGACGACATGAAATGACAAAGAGTAAGAAGAAGTTAAAAATAAGTGCTGAAGTACATGTAGGATAGGTTGCGAAAAAATGAAATATAAAAATAAATGATAAATATTTAAATAGGAAGGAGCCATATATATTCCAATGCGATTTATGAGTGAACGTTCAATGAATTTACTACTATTTATATTATTATTACAAATGCGTGTATACGTAGACGCCCGTATGTGTGTAAATACATTTAAGTACGTGTAAATATATTCTTATACGTGCTCACGTCTGTAAAGTAGAAAGTCCTTGACTATATGTAATCAGACTATAACCTGCCTCCAGACACGGATAGCGATTATCACGTAAAGGAGATCCAGGACATGATCACCGTAATGCAGAGGATGATAAAGGATGGTAAGAAAAACTAACGAACAGACCACTCGTCGTTATTTTAGATTTCATTAAGAATCAGAATATTATATGTGCGTTATGTTGGCGCCACTTGATTAGCGGCCGTCGTTCGCCAGTTCGGCTAAAAAAGCCCAATAGATAACGAGAAAAACGAGTAGAATTTATAGTTGGATTGCGATTACTTAATCGATCAGCCGATCGATAAAAATCTTCCACTATGAGTAATAATGCTCCCTGGGCCTCGCTCGAGCATCTCCCTGACATGTGGACTCGAGATGGCATGTGCGAGTGCCTCCCGATGACAAAAAAAAAACTCTTTTAACAGATATAGAATTTATTAACGTAGGACTGTACATGTTTTTCCTCGCCCGTAGATGCGATCGAACATTGCGCGATGCATTATTATGCCCGAGAACGGTAACGCGCATCTATCAGTACGTTAAGGAGCAGAATTTTCTAAAAGCATTTTGAATATTGTACTTTCGGGATGGCTGTAAATATTATATAAACTCGTTATATCATAATATATTATAATCGAGCTTGATTTAAGATAACGCTAGCTTTATCATTATATGCTAATATAATTGAAGGTCGTGTCGTGTCGTGTGGTGCTACTATCAGTGCTACTGCCGTGGCACATTTTAAGAGAGAAAAAAAAACGAATCTTTACATTATAAATTTTTGACAACGATTGGTCTCTGTCATTTTCGTTTCTAATGAATATATCAATTACAGTATATCGATTTTCGTTGCTTTGGTGTTTATTAAGTTGGTAAAATCAATTCTTTGTTCAAATCAAGTGTTTATATAAAATTAATTAATTATATAATTATATAATTAAGACGAAAATAACAACCTAAAAATATTTTTGAAGATGAAAATCGTACTTTAATATTGTTATTTGAAAACCTATTATTGGGTATTGTATATAATGATTGAAATACCAAATCGATAAACTCGTACAATACATTTCGTTAATGTACTTTCAGTTAAAAATTCGATAGATAATAGATTTTAAAATAAAGTCTATATCATTTACTTTAATCATCTCTTATTATACGCTTATAGCTGTGAATAACAATCATTAATAATATTTTTAATTTATTAAATATTTGAAATTAATTAATTAATTAAAGTCAACAACGAATTAACGTTAAATGAACGTGGCATGAGTTTCGTGGTGTAGATTTCGTCGGTATCAGAGAGTAGGAGAGAGACAGCTTTAAGTCTAATTAACGTGGCTAATTAGGAGTTACAGCACATCACTTTATCGATGATATAGTTACTTTGGAATGTCATATGTTGATATAATGTTTGTCACTTCGTTATCACGCTAATATTTTTACGAAGCCGAAAAATAATCGATCATTTGAGTTCGCGGTAAAGCTCGGCGATATTGAGCATAATTTAGATGCATTTTGCCATACTGTAGTTGCATGAATATTCATATTTTCTCGTGTAATTCTTATCCAGCCAGTGGTGCTCAAATTGATCGATCGGTTAATAACACTTGTGCACGTCATCCATTACTATACGTAGACAAGACTGTGCTTTTAGAATGAAATCATCTTTGTTATCAAATAATAACTTTCTCTCTGTACATAAACATAATTTATTAAATAAGTGTGTGTGCGTGTGCGTGTGCGTGTGCGTGTGCGTGCGTGTGTGTGTGTACTTACTATTGATAAGTTCAATAGATGTGTTAACTAGAAGGCAATTTATATTCTTTAAAAGGTTCGATCAAAAACAAAGAAAAAACTTCCTAGAAACAAATATAATACAACGGGATGTTGATAATTTCAAGAATAATTCATCTAAATGTAAAAGAAATTTTAAAGTTTCGGCTAACTTTGAATCTATAAATTTCACTTACATTTATAATGTATTTTCATTATTAATTTTAAAAACCTTTTTTTCCATTTATTTCATTAGAACGAATTTTTCAATAATTTATCAACTTCATCGTTGAGTTTCATGCCTCTTTATAAAATTTAGAAAATCTAGTGCCGTAAACGTAAATAATTACGATTACTATAGGAGGATAAAGTTTCATTCTCTTAATTGATATTGGAAAATTTGTTGCCAAAAGCGGTTGGTTTTTAATAAATAATAAAATATTTTTACAAAAGTTTTTATCATTAAACGTCTAGGGTCGCAGTTATTGTCGTATAACAGGTTCAATCATAATTGTACGATCATAATCTTCTTGTGCCGAGTGTAAAAATGTAAAAGTCCATACGATGTATGGCGGTATCGTCCGTCGCTTTAAAACGGAAATGACGATGAAGCGTCTGATAAAATAGGGGTAGAAAAAATCTTTGAAGCAATACCGGGAAAGAAGCCACTGGCATTTAATTTAACTTATACTTGAATGCGGATTGGCAATAAGTGCGTGAATGAGCGAAGATAATAGAGCGACGAGTGCTAGTATTGAAATTTCTCGTTGAATCGTGTAGATTGCGCCTTAAAGCGATAATAAATCCGGATCCGCGATAGCGCGTGAATCGCGAGATCGAAATTGCACGGAAAACGAACGTTCGAATATCTGTCGACGCAAGAGCTCGCGCTATTCTGCTCTGGCCACCGTCACCGTCACCCTCACCGTTACCGACACCGACACCGTCACTGTAACCGTCACCGTCACCGTCACCGTCACCGTCACCGTAAACGACTCCGTCGGAGCCGTACCGTCGGCGCTAGCGTCATCTTCGCCGTTATCCTTACCATCGCCGCGACCGTCATCTACATCGTCATGATTACCGTCATCGTCGCCGTCACCTTTATCGTCACCGTCCCCTGGCAAAACTGCTGCGGCCGGCAATTCCTTAGGTCGCAGTGAAGAGAAGGAGGGACCACGGCCTTCTGCTGCATCGGCAAATTGGACGCCTCGAGCGTCGCCTCGAGCGTCGCCTCGGGACCCCATCGGCAGCGCCGACCTCCCGCCCGACACAGGATGAGGGGTGTAAGGTTACCGGGTGTCGTGCTGCCGGCGCATTCCGGCGATTGCCTCGAGTGCGCAGTTGCATGCGTACGTCCGATCGCGAGATCCCTGGGCCCAGGGGCTGACGCGGCAATGGGAAAAGTCGCCTTGATCAGGTTCCTGCGCGCTCTTCTTCTCAAGCTCGTGTCCACTATCTGTGTTAAGATCTTGATTACGCTGCTCAAGCGACTCTAATGCCGGACGACCTCGAGAGGAAGCCAAAGCACGCACCTGCCCACGAGCTCTAGCATACCTAGCTTGTATCTCATCCTTATTCATTTTCTTTTTCATTTTCTATTTCTTTTACTTTTAATTTTTCCTTGACTATTTCGCGAACGATTTACCGAGCAAGTACTCTTCGTCTCGTTCGGCACCTTGTTAAATTAATCTCAGTCGCGATACGAAAAGGGTTGCAAAGAGGACGAACGTGGATGGGACGCATTGTTTAATGAAGCTTGATAATGCCAATGTTTTTCTTCTATCTGCGAGAAGACGATTGGTACCAATGGCGCTACTTGGTTTTGCCCGATGAATACGCGAACCTAGGTACAATTGCCTGTATCGCATTCTCACGTCAATGTGTATTTCTCGTTTCAGGACACGTCTTTGAGAATCCGGAAGCCGTTAATCTTGTACTTGAGCCTGGTATATGGTAAGATTCTTAATTATAATAAAATATAATCAATTTTAAGCTTTTTTTTTTTTTTTTTTTTTTTCATAACCCTTGGTAGCGTAAGACGTACTATCAGTTACGCGACGTTTGAATTAAATCATTAGATACGCGCGATTAACAAACAAACGGAAAAGAAAATCCCGAGCCGATTAATGTATTGTGTGTTCGTTCCATTTACGACGACTAATAATAATCTTAATATTGTAGCTCGAAAGATGAGAAAGTAGACAACTACTGCGTTGTAAGAGCACGAGGACTTCCCTGGCAATCGTCTGACCAAGACGTCGCAAAATTCTTCCGTGGACTGAATGTGGCAAAGTGAGTTGTTTTAATAAGATTCGTTAGATAATGAGAATTTCTATAACGATTATCGAAATTTTGAATTAAAATATTAATATAAAATTATCCAGATCTCGAATTAGTATATAATAAAGCACCGACTTAATTTGATATTTCAATGTGTTTGACAATATTATAATGCAATATTTAATAGATATTCTCTAACATTATGATGTCGTTTTCATGTGCAAGCATTTGGATTGGTTCACTGACAGGTAAAAGATAATTAAGCGTTTTATTAAGTGAGCTTAAGAGAGTTAGAAAGTTGTTACGTTTATTCAGTACACATAATAGTTGCATCTTGCACTTTTCACCTTTATTTTTCCTTTAATTTTCCTTTAATTTTCATGTGCGTATTATACTGCTAAATTATCATAGTGTCAATGTCAACCGAATATGAATATAAAAATATCGGATGCTTTTTCATTAATTTTTTTTTTTTTTTTTTTTTTTTTTTTTTTTAATTTTACATTTTTAAATTTAGACTTTGTCTTTCGCAATAATAGTAGAGAGCATCTTAATATATTTGTATTTTAAAAACTTAACAATCGTAATAGTAGGCACCTTATGTAATTGGAGTTGGCCCCATAACGTATTTATTACACAGCTGTCATAAGAACGTATTCCTAAAAATTCATGTCCTAACCGTGATATTGACGTCATTTGATTTTTTCAAACGATTTGCCTCGAAAACGCAAGAAGAAATTAAGACTAAAGCTAAATACTCGTAAATACGTAGATGATTTTCACGAGCTCGTAATCGATTGGAAGAAAAACTTAAACAAGTTTACGCATTAATAGAGTAATGCGGTTAGTGCTAGACGACGAAGTACTTAGGGCCGTCTAACGATTACACTTTACTTAATATCTCACAGCTTTCACGATATTTTGATATCCGTATATTCTCTTATCATTCGCCGAATTCGACGGATCACTCACCGGTCATATCTGCTGTACAACCGGTACGCCGAACGTCTTTTATTTCCCTTCGAATGGAGCTTCGGGAGTTTCGAACTTTGTCGATCGACACTTTACGGCCTCCCCACTACTACTTTCCCGTGCACGTATGCTCGTCTACGAGTTGACATTATTACTGCCTGGCTAATCAGACCCTTAGGGTCTATCGCGAATGCTCCGCGGCGGCTACGTCTCAATGGCAGTCGTTAAGGACAAATTGCCTTCTGCCAAGCAGCCGTGTTATTTAAAGATATTGGGCAATGAGCCTTTGTCAACGAGCCGCTTTCGCTTCACGATCATATCAAATATATGAAATGGAGAAACTACCGATGGGGCGGATAAAAATTGCTTTGGCTTTACATTTTTAGGATATTTCAAATCCTTCTCCCCGCGTTTGGGTTTACCGCACGAGTATCGTTATGCACTCATTACTATCGCTATGTATATTTCCTCGATAATCGTCAGCGTGTTTCCTCGCTAAAAGTGTCTTTCCGTATTTGCTCCCTCGACCTTTAATCGTTTTCAAGAAATTCGAATGCTCGTTACCCGCAAATTTACATAGCGAAAAGGTGACGTTAATTCAATTGTACATTTGAGCAATGCCAATAAGACCGATATTATTTTTACCTCGAGTCATAATTTTAGGCCATTTCGTGGAAAGCCATATAAACGTTTGACAATCTGAAGTAAAAATATTCTAGTGTAATTGTCAATGCATGTAATTAAATGGCTATTATTGTAAATAAGCTATTTTACTGCATTTTTTTTTTTTTTTTTTTTTTAAACAACCGATTGTACATACACTCGATAAACAACTAACACTACATGTACGAATGTGTTATTGAAACATTTTAAACCATATTCATTAGTTTATATCTTATGTCAAAAATGCATAAATTTCCCGTTAATGTTTAAAAATACGTATAAAATATTTCTTTATAGCAATTATTGTCGTATTTATGACTTATGGTAAAAATTATCCTATAAAAGAAAATAAATGTTTCGCTATAAGATTTTCATAAGTCTTGGCTATCACGAAGAAATTTATATAAATTAATAAGATAGATGATAAATTATTAACTTGTATTTAGTATTTTGTGAGCTGTTAAGAATGTCTTCGACAAATATATTTATACAGCTTTCGTGGATATAATACTAAACAATAAATATATTTGAATGAAAATTTATTTGTAAATATTTATAAATATTAATTGAATGTTTTCTCATTTTAACTTGAAAATACAAGCAGTTGGTGACATTTAAAAAGTTTAATTCATTAGTAAAATATTTTAAACGTAAACATCAATTCACAAGCATTCTTATGGTATTGGCCATTTATTTATTTAATGATTATTTCATAACTAAAAATTAGTGTATGGTTAATTTATGTGAATGATTTATTTTTATTTTTGTACATTGTCATTGCTTTAGAAAATAATACAAAAGATGTTTCGTGTATAATGTAATTATTTTTTTACCGAGTTACAACTAATCATTAATAAATCCTCTGATTTATTAAATATTTTATATAAATTTTAATTCCGTGTATTAATGTAAATTGCTTGGAATGTTTAATTCGCCACTAAATGCTTTTGCCACTTTATGCATACGGCACGTCAAGTATTCCGTTCTTACCAGTCGTTATAAGCATTTCTTTAATCCACTTTGAATTAACTTCAAGGTAAAATTTACAGTGACTGTACTAGTTATCGCTATATTTATTATGCCGTCTGGTAAAATTTATCGTGACATGTAATTCTTTCCATATAAACAACAGACAATTGTAGAAAAACTTACACACAAAGTAATCTAAACATATTTAATGCCTCCCATATTGTAAATCTAATTTTTGGAATTTATTTTAATACATACATTTTTGTATCAGTGCAGATAAAACTTCATTATATCATTGATTATTACTAAAAATTATTTATAAATATCAACAATTAAATGTTGACTTCATAAATAATAAATAATTAACAAAAAAAAAAAAAAAAAAAAAAAAAAAAAAAAAAAAAAAAAAAAAAACGTATAAATTCTTAAATTAATTTGTTACTGTACACTATATATTGTTTATTTATCCTATTTCGGGAAAATTCTTTACATAACTATCTATTAATAATATAGGAAAATATTCATTATGAAGAAGTTATTCCGTCATATTTGATATTAATAAATCTTAAAGTTTTACCTGATAGTTATATTAGTCATGTATTAGTTAATAATGAAGATTCCAATTAGCGATCTCTGACAATACTTTTTCCATCATATTTTAAATTTGTGTGTATTTTATTATGTATACTTTGAAAAAAGATTTTTCTATTACGAATTACAGATCATGATTAATTTATTGTGAATGAATAAAGAAAATATATAAAGCAATTAAAAATGTTGAGGTATTTGTTATTATTTAATTTTTTTTTTTTTTTAAGTTTATGTATAAATGCATAAATGAGTTTCATTAAATTTCATAGATATTGTAGCGTTAATTATTTAGTTTACAGAGTCTTGGAGCATAATTGTGTTTTTTTTTTTAATTTTTTTTTTTTTTTTTTATACTACTGTTCGATGATAATGATATGTTATAGAAATATTTAGAGGCATGAATTTGGAGAATGACAGATTACCAAAAATTAGCCAAATTCATGAATATCGAACTGTTTCTTGTTAATAAAACTATTTGTTTTACTAAATTATCGAACTGGTATCGAGTTATTACGACAGTAAATTTTGCTACATTGCTCCATCATCGGATTTATTATTATAATTGGTTATTCATTATCGAAGGCTAATGATAAACTATTTTAACTCATTTACTTTTTATTCTTTTTATATTCTATTCTTATTTTGAATGATGTTTTAAAAAGTTTCCTTATCTGACACATGATGAATAGTATGAAGGATAGTATAGTACCTCCTAAGTCGCCTTACATTTCATGTGTTTTTCCTATTGCATTTTTTTTTTTTATTTTTATTTAAGAAAATAGCGATTTATAAAATTTAACGTAAAAGACGAGGTATTCCCATAGCTTATAAATGTATGATTGATTGTATATTGGCATTTAAAAAAGCATAATAACATTGTTATTTACGATTATGCAGAAAAACATGTATAAAATAACAATACACTGTTTATAGTATTTCGTAAATATTGCTTATCTTAATTATCGAAATAAGTTAAAAAAAAAAGTTGCAAAAACCCTTTTTTTTTTTTTTTTTTTTTTTTTTTTTTTTTTTAAGGAAAAAAAAATATATGTGTATATATATATATGTATGTATATGTGTATATATGTATATTCTTTTATTTCTATTATTTTTAATTGAACTCCAATTGTAGGCTTCTTAACTATTGCATATATATAATAATAACCTAACCGATAATTCCTTTAATAATTCAAGCTTTACAATAATTATAAACTAATTACTTTTCATATTAAATCTCGGACGTTTTCGAACTTTTCAATTATAAAATTAAAATTTGAACACTGGTTCATTCGCGATATTACGCTTTGCTATGAATATGTACGTTAGCGTCTTGTTACCTTAATGTTGTTAATTTATGGCATTGCATACATTGCGGCGTAATAGAAAATTATTCGAATATAATTGGAAAGCGCGGGAGGTTAAAATTTTCTTTCAACATATACTATTTAACGGTTATTATCGATTCTATTCCATTCTTTAATTCCGGGCATTACCATAAAATGAATCTTGCACAATCGTTGACAATCGATACATACATGTAGATGAAGAATTTTAATTGTACACTCGATAAGTTAAAATAGCTGTGCAATACATTTTATGCGAATGTAACAAGACAATGCAAGTGGCTGTCCTAATCGTTGAAATAAATTCAGAGGCTATTAATGTTGAGTATTCATTGTTTATGCGATCGATCTAAAGAGCTTTTGTCCACTTTTGTTCCAGTAGTAGTGGCTCAACAATACAGCATACAATGTATCGTCAGCATGATTAATAGACTAATTTAAGCGTTGAACGTTAAATTTTTCTCTCCGCATTATTCGAAAGTTTGTGACTTTATTTAAATAAAGGCCTCATCTCGTGTTGATATCGATTCAGCTCTAGGCTCAATTCCCGCCACTAAATGCTTTCCCATTACCGTAGGCGCAATAACTTTTGTATATGGAAGTTTATTAGTTCGCAAATTGAAGTTGCGGGCAGCTCGCGCGGGCAATTCACATTTATCGCGCGGGTATAAAAAGGGTCGACGAGCGCGCGAATAAATTAAGAAATAGTCGGCAAAATAAAACGGCCGAATAATAAATAAACGTTAATAAAGCGGCGGTGAAATTTGGCGCGCCACGCCGGAATGGCGAGCGTTGTGAAAGCGAGGAGTTGGCTGGAAAATTGCCGATTAAGCTAAAAAAACTATGTGGTTTTGTCGCTTTGGCGTAGGGGCGGCGTCGCTCTGTGTCTGAGCTCGCAAGGCAGGCGCAACGGCGAGGCACTGGTACGTTTCGTTAGCAAGGAGCACAGGGACATGGCGCTCAAGAGGCACAAGCACCACATTGGCCAGCGCTACATCGAGGTCTACAAGGCCTTGGGCGAGGACTTTGTCTCCGTCGCCGGTGGCACCAACGGCGAAGCCCACGCCTTCCTGTCCCGCGGCGCCCAGGTCATCGTCAGAATGCGCGGGCTTCCCTACGACTGCAGCGCCAAGCAAGTGGTAAGGCCGCCTTAACGTCAATAATCCTGTCCTTATCCTCAGTGGCTATCATAGCCACCTGAGCTTCGGAAACCCGCGCTCCTACCGTCCACAGAGCCGGACGCTAACGACAATGGCCACCGACCTTATCGCTCCGTTGTTTATCTTCGCCTTGGCTCGACAATGCCGGTGCATTTTTTTTTTTGTTTTCCTTTTTTTGTTTTGTGGTTTTTCCCCTTTTTTTTATTGCTTTTCTTTGCTTTTCTTTGTTTTTTTTTTCTTTGTTTTTTTTTTTTTTTTTTGTTTTTTATTGCTTTTTTTGTTCCCCTCACTCGTAATGGATTGCGGTCGGTGCGAGCTTCGGAGATCCGCTCGACCAGACGACTCGTATACGGCAAAGTCAATTTTGTCGGGCCGCGGATACGCGCGATACAGCTCAACGTGTCGGGAACGACAAGGAGGAAGAAGAGGAGGAGGCATTGATGGTCGGCTTGCGCAACGCTCGAATGAAATTTGCCGAAAAGGTGGGCCGTGAAATTCCTTGGTTAAACACTTACCGCGGTATAGTTGCGCAAGGCGCCCGTGCGCCGGCCCATGGATGAATTTTTATTTTGCTGTGAAAGCTGAATGTAACGGGGTGATGGTAGGCGATGGTAAGCGATGATGACACGTAGATTATGCAAATAATTATGGGGCCTCGTCGAATGCCTCGTCGAATGCCTCGTTAATACAAGCCGCTAGGCGAAGATCGTCCCCAAAACAAATTCACGTATATGCAAAACGACGCATGGCCTCGGCCATCAATATATTTATTATCCATTACACCAGCTTCAAATTCACCACGTTCTAGTTGGAGTTCTTTTTGTCGGGACAAAAACCGTGTCAAGTGCTGGACGGTGAGGATGGCGTTTTATTCGTTAAGAAGACCGATGGACGGGCAACGGGCGACGCGTTCGTACTCTTTACTAAAGAAGAAGATGCGGAAAAGGCTTTAAGCAAGCACAGAGACTGCATCGGCAACAGATATATCGAATTGTTCCGGAGCACAACGGCAGAAGTGCAGCAGGTAAAGTCATCGATTCGGCCTATCCACTTGTGACAATGTCCAGGTAGAAACGATAGTTTCCTTTTTTCCTCCCAAATTCGGCGCTAAAAGCCAAGATCTGCCAAGTTCCACTATAAGCATTACAGGCGTTAGCATATACGTAGTGTAACTTCACACGGAGAGAAAATGAAATTTTTCGTTATGCCTTGTGGCCGATGGTGCAAAAGTTTGATAATCCGCTTCCTTGACCACGCTTTTCTTTTAGGTTTTGAATCGAGTGAGCGATATAAAACCCTTCGAAAGACCAATACTGCCACCCCTGTCCTCTATTCTTCCGCAACGCTACATCACCTCTGGTACTCGCAAGGATTGCGTACGCCTCAGAGGACTTCCTTACGAAGCACTCGTCGAGCATATCCTCGAGTTTATGGGCGAACACTCGAAAAACATCGAGTATCAAGGCGTCCACATGGTTTACAATGCTCAGGTATATATAAAAAGAATCAAATCAATTTAATTTTACATAATATTGTTTGATTAAGCATAATATTCTGGTTAAACCGGGCAGAGAATAATAATAATGATAATAATGATAATAATAATGATAATAATGATAATAATGATAATAATAATAATAATAATAATAATGATTAAATAAATTCAATATCAGTGGTGAATATGAATAATGCCTTATTCGACGAAAACGAGTAGATTTGTAATATTAAATGTTTGCTCGACTTAAGTTCTCCGACTTTTATTATGAACTACGGTACAATTGGGCTCTTTTATTTCAAATCCATGGAGTCTATGGAGTTTAACGAAGTTCATTCTTACCACGCCGCGACAGATATTTCATGCCTTCTATGAGATTATTACCAAGCGAATTAATTAAGGCTCTCACAGTCCCGTTACGCGTCACATTCGTTCACTTAATTAATCGAAGGAGGCGTTGCGCGAGTCCACGTACATCGCGCGCTTCTAAAGTGTCGGGTTAAGTAGTGGGTGGGATCGAGCACAATTTAAACGCTCTTATCTTCCGATTGGACAGGGTCAACCCTCGGGCGAAGCCTTTATCCAGATGAACAGCGAGGGTGCGGCATACGCATGCGCCTCGCAGCGCCACCACCGTTACATGATATTCGGCAAGAAGCAGCGCTACATCGAGGTCTTCCAGTGCAGCGGCGAAGACATGAATCTGGTGTTGACGGGTGCTCCGCTACCGGGTAAGGCTCTGCTCTCACCCGGCCCACTAGCCGCCGCCGCGGCCGCCGGTGCCGCGCCAAACCCCGGTCCCCCCACCCAGGCCCAGGTTCCCGTACCCGCTCCCCAACCCGCGGCACCCCTCTGGGACATCCACGCGTTCGTGCAGGCCCAGGCCCAGGCGCACGTGCAGGCACAAGCCCAGGCTCAGGCGCAGGTCCAGGCCCAAGCGCAGGTTCAGGCCGCGCAGGCCCAGGCCCTGAGAAATCAGGACCTCTGGCTCATGGCCCTCGCCTCTAACGGTCCCAACCCCAATCCCTCCCCGACCTCGCCCAATACCACCACCAAGGCCCTCGCCCTCCCCTCGAGCGTCCCACAGCACCATCATCCCCAGCACCACCCGCACCATCATCCTACCCTCACTGCAGCCTACAGCCACGAGCAGCAACTCCATGCCCAGGCGGTCGCCCAGCACGCTGCTGCCGCCAACTCCGCGCCCCTCCTCTTCTTTAACGTGCCCTCGCACAGAATACCCATACTTCGGACGCATGCCCCGCCCGGCTTCATGGCACCGCCCATCATCCCGGGCGCTCCCATCAACCCCGCGGCTCTCCTGGGTCTCAAGCGTTCCTGGGAGTCGGCCTTTCCCGCGGAGACCGCCGCTGTAGCGACTAAACGCACCACCTGGCAGACACCCGCGGCGGCCTTCCACGCGTCCGCCCAGACCGCCGCTCCGGGTCTCGCCTATCCCGCCCAGTTCTTCCCACAGATTTAGAACTCCGAGGGGAAAAAGCCTCGAACCCTTATCGTCCTCGAAACTCCTGGCGAACCCGCTTCTTCTTCATCTTCTTTCACTTATTCGTCTCGCGGCATCCTTGCGACTCCTTACGGCCACCACATGGATCGGCGTGGGCTCGCTTGCCCAATTACCGATCACGTGGCCTTGTCGCAAGCTGCCTCAAGAGCCCAATTCAAAGTTAAGGTGAAGTCATGATTTTCAATTTAGAATTTTCGCTAATGACGCAAACATTGTCGTTTATCAGCTGCTGTCACGCTCCTATTGGTTGGCGAAATATACGCAGGGAATACGTGTCTATCGATGCATTAGGCACGTAACAATAACGACGAAGTCAACTTGTAGAATTCAGTTGTAGATAATAATGAATTACGACACGATTATAAGCAAGTCGATTTTGATTGGCGTCCGAATAAAATTCATCTTTTCTCTTGTCACCGATGTCTCCTCAAACATATGGTTCTGAAGAAACCAAATTTATCATTGTTATTGTACTTAACAAAAACAAACAAACAAAACAAAACAAAACAAAACAAAAAAAAACAACAAAAAAAGAAAACAAAAAAAGTACTGAAAGCTTGAATCAGCCAAGTCCTTATAATAATATGCAACATGATGAAATATTTTGTCTATCCGAGAATATTGATTTTGTTCGTACTTATATTTCATTATTTCGGCATACAAAATCTTTTTGCATTGGGTTTGTAGTTAAGCCAATGGTTAGGGTAATTGATATTCTGTTTAATATTATCATGTTCGTAATTATATTATATATATATATATATATATATATATATATATATATATATATATATATAGATGTATATATATTTTTCTATAATTTTAATATATATATATATAATGATGTATTTAAAGTTTTCGATAATTTTATTTGTACTCTTAATCGATAGCTTTTATTTAAAAATAAATTACCATTCCAATAATTAGTTATTAAATCAAAGATTTTTGAATTATTTTTAATCTGCGTAAAGAAATTCTATTGTTTTTTTTTCTCTTTTTCTTCTTTCTATTAATAATCATCTTATTAGGATCATTATTTTGTTACATTATTATGTAATAGATATAATTATTTTTTCTCCAATTAAAGTAATTAGAGGGCAAGCAGTAGTGTAGCATTATTGTTAATACTGGTACTTGTAGAACTGTTATTCGGTTCATCGATCTATATGCATTACAATTGTCATCAAAACTATTTATTGTACAGATTAGATTCTTCAATAAAAATCTCTTGGTAACTGTAGTTATTCGCAAGTTATCGTAACAATATTTTTGAATTATTTCGCTCTTGTAGGCAAGGCATCATTATAAGAGATTTATAATACATTTTTAATAGATATAAAAGATTTTATAGTTGAAATATAGTAGTTTTGATATATCGATTTATGTAATTACGTGTAAGTGTTTTCCTACCTGAACGATGATTTAGTTTTTTTTTTCTTCTTTTTTTTTTATAACTGAATACTTTTGAAATTATATATAATCATTATATTGCTTTTTTAATAAATGGATTATTGCCATTCAATAATGCCGACAAAGTGCCTTTACATGTCGATATTTCCCTATAAAGTGATAACAAAGTACTTAGGAAGCGATCGTTCGACCATTCCTTGTTATAGAAATTGAAGATAATCATTGGTGAGATAGTTTATATTTACTAATAATTAATTATCGTAATTGTAATTATTTTGTAATATAATATAAAATTTTAAACGCTGTCATTCCTTAGACAATTCTTCTCATTCTCCATACGATATAACGACAATTCGTTGAATCACTTATTACTCTTCATATACTAACGAGGAAACATTATTCTTCGCAATTCGACTCTCTGTATATAAATTATGATATAGTTAATAAGAGAACATTGAATAGTTTATTTTATATTATAAATGAGAATATATATATACATATATATATATATATATATATATATATATATATATATATATATTTTTTTTTTTTTTTTGCTGAATCTATTGTCGTAGATTTAAATAAATATAAAAATTGTGTGGTTTCCGTCGATTATTAATATAATGAGTCTACAAATAGAGAGGAACAAATGCCAGGGTGATTCCTAAAATTGAATCTGGGTCTGTATTTCCTATAACCGATGGTGATTTTCCAAGGTGCTTCATTTTCTCCCGACAATCCTTTCTCCTCTTCTTCTCCTGAAAATTTGATTATTAATATGTTTGTCAGAATTATTATTCGTATGACTTCTTAAGGAACGTAATGAATGATAAATAGAATTTGGAGTACAAAGGCGAAGGGATCCAAACTTAATAATATCTTTCCATAGCTCATATATCGTTTATACATACTTATATATAATATATTAATTCATATATATTAAATACACATATGTATATTATATGCATTAATTAGTTAATTTAAGTCGCATTTAGGTTTAAGGGTTATATCGAGAAATGGAGCGTATAGGACCAATCGTATAACAAACATTCCTTAAATGCATTTCCAGAAAACTTCCGCGTACATTATGTTACTTTATTACTTTTCATTTAAGACTTGTCATTTACGATTACTCCAGTACTCCATCGGCAATTATTTCAATTGCTTTAAATATTAAGTAATGGTGTTTTCAAGTAATATTCCCCTAATAAAATCCGTAGATGGTAGTGTTTTAATTTTTTAAAGTTACAAAGCTCACATTCCAATCGATGCTTAGCCACAATTTCCTTATCGATGGAAAATTGTTAACGATAATAATTGGAATCAAAGCTGGATGTTTTTCATTGTGCCTAAAACAAGTTTTAAGTACTTATGTAATGTATTATATGTAACTGCAATTAAGCACTGTAAGCTTTTTCATACTTGTATTTAGATATTTTGTAAAAAATGTCCAGTAGCGTGTTGCATTTATTTTTTTTTTCTTTTCTATTGTTAAATTAAAACCCTTTTAAGTGGTGATTAAACTATATGAGTTTATTTACAGAGCGACGATGTCAAGTTGCAAATTTCATCTAAAATGCCTAGCCATACTGCAAGCGTATGGTTGTTGTTATATTTTTTTTTTAATAAAATTGAAATATCCTTTTAGAGCAACGGGCATCGTCGTTTCGGTACGAATTTGGTACTTATAAATGCATGTACTAGAATATGGAGGTGTGTTCATTTTAATTGGTCTATCATCATTGCGATAAGAACACATAAAAATTATTTGTGCCCAATAACGCTTGTTGACTCTTACTGTTAACTTCAAATGCATACGCACAAACGATAATAAGTTTGCCGCTCATGCAAAATATACGTACCTACAAAACGATCGTGTTTGTCCTAAACATCCGATGTATTTCATTAAAAGTAATCATGACTGTTGTTAGGTAAAAGCACTCGACATTATATTACTAAGATCTTTGTAAGTTAGAATCGAGCTTTAAGATTTCTTGGCTTACGAGCGATTTTACCTAACAGAAAGGACGAAAATAAATATAAACTGTACCTTCGTCAAATCTCAACATGGAGTTACGCTCATTTACATATAAAATATAAAATCTTTATGGAAAAAGAAAGAAAAACGTAATTCACTTTCAATTGAAACGACATGTTCGAGATTTAATTTTCGAGTACGTCTAAACGATAAGCTTTTATATTGAAATAATACATTATAAACAAATCTTGATAATGACATGAGAGAAACTTCAAAATAAAAAAAGAAAATTTTTTTAAAAAAAAAAAGATGAAAAAAAAATGATATCGTTTCGTAATGTTTATAAAAATTAATTTTGTTTGCTGAAATTTCTGTTTACCGAAGATTTGAAAGAGTGAGAAAAAAAAAGCTTAGGTGCGTGATAACGATTTTCTTTCTAAATTTAACTCCGTTCGATTGTTTGCTCGAATTAAAAATCATTAAAAAAAAAAAAAAAAAAAAAAAAAAAATTTCGATCGATATTATTGAGTAATCAATCTTCATAAAGCCGAGTAATGTTAAATGAATATAGTGATAAGAATGATCGATCAGCATGTAATTGTTCGATCCAAGACCTGCCAGTTTTCTTCTTAAAATATCACCTAGTGGTCATGACTTTGTCAACTGGAGTATAAGAGCTTGCGTGATTTAACGTCAAGATCATATAAATTGCGAGAATTTGTACATAATTAAGTAATTAAGTTTTTCTTGTTTTGAGTTCGTTAAGTTTTCTTTTCGTTTAATAAGTTGAGGTGGTAATAATCTGTTAACGAAATTCTGAACCGCGTCTTAAAACTACTTGATTACTGATAAATCAGAGTCAGTGATTATGTCCGTTCGGGCAATGGCTACGCGATTGACAACGAAGTGACAGAGTCATTGCTCTCTGGTTATGTGTGTTTCGTTTTGTAACGATTTTATTATTACTAAGTAAGGCTTAATCATTAGCGACGAGAATACAATCGATGATGCACAATCGATTCTATTTCAATTCATGGATTCAGATTTTGGAGATAAAATCGTTACATTACAGTAGTATTGTTGTTGGCTTTCGCCGAGTCTGCGCGGCAGTGTCTTGTGCAGAGACTCGTATATTTTTGCCTTAATGAAAATCTTCTTTCACGTGTACTAACTTTCCACTCCAGACGTCCGTAAACTGTGCTAGATGTGTTGTCTGGTGATTTGGTGGCTAACATTTGGTTAATTGCAATTGGAATGTGGTCAAGACACGATCTTTTTTATTATTATTGTCGTTAAAATATTAACACCATACGCTTTCCAGCACAAATGATTTTCAATACAAACGCATAAAAATGTTCAAGAATTATATGCTTTTGTTTTCATAGAAATCACAAATGGCTTAACAGTAACTGATTATATGAAACAAGTTGGACTTTCCGATCTTTTTCATTAATATTGATCTTTATAGACGCCCAAAGAATGTATACAAGTTTCTTTTTTCTTTTTACAGCAATACTTACTATTTATTATTTGTTTGTTTGTTTTTGGTTTTTTCTTTTATTTCATCTTATTTTATTTATTTAATTTTTGTTTCACTTTTATTATTATTATTTTTTTATTTAATGAAATCTGATTGTGTTTTGCCCACAAATAATAACTTCGTTTTTTTTATTAGTGGCATTAAAAGCGACTCGATCTTTCTAAAAGTGAAATCCTAGTGA